GCCATTAAGATCACTGGGTGACCTTGAGCAAGTCACTGTCTTTGAGGTTAACCTACTTACTGACTTGTTGCGATTAAATGGGGGTGTGTGGGGGGGGACCCAGTACACAGCCTTAAGCATCTCGGAAGGAACAGCAGGATAAAAAAAAATCAGTTTGGGGGTAAACACTTAATGATGGAGTGCGATATTGTATCCTCTGCAGCTTGACAAACACAGTCGAGCTAAGATCACAGACCTAGGATTTTGCAAGCCCGAAGCAATGATGTCCGGTAGTATTGTTGGCACCCCTATCCATATGGCTCCTGAGCTTTTCACAGGTGAGCTTGTCATGAACTTCTATTTGCTTTGGAGATTTTCAGAGATCCAAGGGCTGTACCCACTTCTGGTTGGGTATATGTGTATAACCTAGAGGAGTGTATCTACAAGGAAGTGCAACCTACTGAATGAAGTGGAATTTACTTTTAAGTAAGCATGTTTAGGATTAAGCTGACAACAAAAATCCATACAGCACTTTTGAGCATCTATCCCAGGGTTTCTCACTATGAGAACACATTAGAATTTGTCTGCAATGTTTTGTAAACTAAGCTGATTCTAACATAGCACTTAATTAAAATAATGCCATAGAGCATAAGTCATTTTCATCTGGGTAAAATTGAAGCATATGTGTTACACAGAAACATGCGGATGTTTGTCAAACAACCATAATTTCCCCCCCATCTTGGATCCAAGATCACTGCAGACGGTGAGTGCAGCCATGAAATTAAGAGACGCCTGCTCCTTGGGAGAAAAGCGATGGCAAACCTAGACAGCATAATAAGAAGTAGAGACATCGCCCTGTCAACAAAAGTCCATATGGTCAAAGCAATGGTATTCCCAGTAGTAATGTATGGCTGTGAGAGTTGGACCATAAGGAAGGCCGAGCGCCAAAGAGCGCCTTTCGAATTATGGTGCTGGAGAAGACTCTTGAGAGTCCCTTGGACTGCAAGGAGATCAAATCAGTCAGTCCTAAAGGAAATCAACCTTGACTGTTCCCTGGAAGGCCAAATACTTAAGCTGAAGCTCAAATACTTTGGCCACCAAATGAGAAGGGAGCATTCACTGGAGAAGACCCTGATGCTGGGATTGATTGAAGGTAACAGAAGAAGGGGATGGCAAAGGATGAGATTGTTAGAGAGTGTTATCGATGCAATGAACATGAAGTTGAGCAAACTCCAGAGGACGGCAGAAGACAGGAAAGCCTGGTGTGATGTGGTCCATGGGGTCGCGAAGAGTCAGACTCGACTGTGTGACTGAACAACAACAACAACAAACATCTTTGGGTCTCTCCTTTGCCACTTGACTTTGCCTGTATCATTATAGGTTAATTTTCTGTAGAGGAATAATGGCAGAGGGGTACCTGTGTTACTGTGTAAGGTGCCACAGGACACCTGTTCATTTTTGCTGAAGGAGTAGAGTTGCCTAGTATGTAGTATTAAAGAAGTATTTAGATCTGTAGCCCACTACAGCCTGAAGAACTCTGGGTCAGCATGAATAACAAATATTGAAAACATAAAACTTCATCTTAGAAGTCCACCACCCTGAAAGCCAGCCCAGACAGATAGGTCTTGCATAGTTTCCAAGAAGGTAATTCATCTTGGAATTCAGTAAATCTTCAGGAAGAAGAAATTCCATAATTTGATGCTGACAGTCACTTGACAAATTTTCTGAACCTGCAAATGGTATTTGTGGAGGTGTCCCAGAATGTAATGTGGCACAAAAAGGAATAAAATGTCAGTGCTAGAGATAAGACTGTAATTTAGTGCCAGCAATGTATCTGAGAGCATGGAAATGAAATCTTTCTCCTTGCCATGAAATGTATTGCTGAGGCCAAATCCAAACATTCTGTATTTTTTTGAAAATACATTGAAAATAGCAGCTGCCTGACCAGAACCATGTAGTCTTACACGGTAGTTCAAATGCTCTTTCCTTGTGGCTTGTGTAGGCAGTAAACGTCATTGCCCTCAGTCCTCAGGAAATGTTTCACTGACATGAGTACTGTCCATATGTCCCAGTGGACCCTTGTTGGAATTTACACATTCTTGTAGCTGTGAAGGTTTGGATTTTAAATGCTGTATAAACAGCGGTCGTATGATGAGAAATTCGACAAGTATTCTCCACCCATACCTTCTACTGAAAGAGTGAACCCAAGTGGCCTTTTAAAGGCAGTTATTACCTATAAGCTATATAAGCTAGCCTGCTCTGTCACAAAAATCAGGCTCTGAGATTTCTGAAGACTCCTGAGAAAAAATTATCAGCCAAGATTATCAGCCTGCCCCTCTGCAAGCCTAAGCCCTAACTCCAAATATTCACTATTTTAGCCTGGTGACACACACAAGGCAGACTCTGAGACCTATATAGTCTCCTGAGACGAGTTCTCTCCCAGTAAGACTCTTGAGATGCAAACCCTATTGGAATTGGACTTCATTGGAATTCATCTCTCATTCCCCACTACCCATCTGGGTCCATCCATGGGCCCTGATTGGTTGTTAGGTGCTCTGCACACACACCAAATAGGCATACAGTAAATTAGTGACTAATCACAAGCAGTGTTCCCTCTAAGCTGAGTTAGTGTGAGCTAGCTCACAGTTTTTTAGTCTCTGGCTCACACATTTTTCTTAGGAAGGATGGCTCCAGAGCAAACTAAGTAGCCAAATCGCTCACTCACATCTTTAATGCCAGTAGCTCACAAAGTAGAATTTTTGTTCACAAAACTCCACAGCTTAGAGGAAGCATGGACCACAAGGGGCAGGACCTCTGTCCATCTGTCACAGTAGCTTACTGGAGTATACAGCTGTGGCTAGGATTTGTTGGGTAGTAATCCTTTTTGGAAAATATGCTTTTATTTGTGTTGGAGTCTGTGTGCCTCTGTTTCCATATTATGGCGTAATATCTAATGAAAGCTTGCTTCCTTGCAAAATCTTGTTAAACCAATATTCCTTGTTCATCTGTCACAGGCAAATATGATAACTCAGTGGATGTATATGCATTTGGCATCTTGTTCTGGTACATCTGTTCAGGACATGTGAAGTTACCAGAGGCATTTGAGAGATGTGCAAGCAAGGACCACCTGTGGAACAATGTGCGAAGAGGTAGGCATGGCTTCAACACAAAAGGGAATGATGCAGTTCTGTAAAGGGATGGAGACTACACAGAAGTTCTAAATGGAAATAGCGGCACACACTGTGGACTTCTGTGTCACTCTCTTCGATAAATGTCCCTTCTGGTGCTTCACAAGCCACCCCCTGAAACTCAGGGCAGTTTTAAAAGCATAATGCAGTGCATGCTGATATAGTGGAGTCATGGTGGTGGGGGCTTATTTCAGTAAGATGGATAAAATATAGCAGTATTTTTAATAGGTTCTCTGCACATAGCAGACTTCAGCTTGTCATAAAGCAAGTTTGCATATAAAAGTTTGATTTGTAATTTAAATGCTTAGGAGGAACAGACCATGTGAAATAAGCCATTCTGTTACGTCTTTATACCCACATGGTGGTATAAAGACGTAACAGAATGGCTTATTTCACATGGTTTGTTCCTCCTAAGCAGGGGAAGCTAGTGTGGAAGTAGCAGCAATGTTCTTGAGTCCTTGTCCTTTTTATGCTGTTGTCTGGTAACAGAGAAAGTAGTTTGAGTGAAATTGGAGGGGGGTGGGGAGCCCCTTGGTTCTGTCTCATAACATCACACTTCCAGGCTGCTATTACATTTGTCTGAGATTCTTAACAGGTCTGGCAACATAATGTACAGATTTTGTTGTTGTTGTTCATAATGACTTTTGGCTCTTACAGTGCTTTGCTTAGGCAAAATAGCCAAGATGGCTATAAATGGAGATCGGTTTCCTTCTTGACCTTCTCACTGTCAGTCCCATGAGATTTTTCTCATGTGACTGTGACCTATTCACTTCTGAGCTTGTTACTTCCAGGACAAAAACAGTAATTTTGAGATTTGTTACCTGTTGTCTTAGTTATATTTTAGTAGCCTCATTATAATGTTTATGTTTTAAGGAGGTTACTATAACATAGTATCTCTGCCCCAGAAATAATCCTGGTTTCAGTATGCTAAGGGACTCTTCAAGTATTCCCCAATTATATAGAAATGTTTTGGAATTCTAGGTACCACATGGCAGGAAAAGTGGTAAGCTCTAAGTATAAATGAATGAAATAGCAACAGCAGTTCCATTAGCCTTTTTGGATAAGGAATGTAAACAAGGGTTTTATATCCTGGGATTATGCTTCTAATTTTTGTAAGAACATAAACTGCCTTCAAGCTTGGTGAAATCAGCAGTTTCTTTGAACAACACAAAAGCAGTTTAAACTTTTCAAGAGGATGCATGACTAATTGCTTAAGTGATTTCAAAACTGACATCACATTGAGGTATCATTTCACGTGCTTGAGAATCTGCAGGGTTTAGAGCACATTGAGCAGGGAGTCTGAAACGGAAGGTCTGTAAGCATTCTAATGCACCATTGTTCCATGGTTAATATGTTCTCTGTGAAAGGCTATTAGTTGCTACCAGCACTAGTAAATCTTCTGCGTACTATGTTTGATTATTTCAGGTATGTTAATTTAACAGCCAGCCTTTTTCTCAAAGGCAATTTCCTATTCTTGCAATGCGAAGTTCAAATTCTTTTGAAAGATTACAAAGAAAATAAAACCAGTTGGTGTAGTGGTTAAGTGCGCGGACTCTAATCTGGGAGAACTGGGTTTGATTCCCCACTCCTTCACTTGCACCTGGCTGGATGACCTTGGGCAAGCCATAATTCTGGCACAGCTGTTCTTGAAAAAGAGCAGTTTCTGTCAGAGCTCTCTCAGCCCCACCTACCTCACAGGGTGTCTGTTGTGGGGAGGGGAAGGGAAAGGAGTTTGTAAGCCGCTCTGAGACACCTTTGGGTAGTGAAGGGCGGGGTATAAATCCAATCTCCTCCTCCTCCTCCCTCTTCCTCTTCTT